CAAAAAAAAGAAGAAGATAGATAGATAGATAGAAAGATAGATAGATAGATAGATAGATAGATAGATAGATAAGTACAGTGTACATGAATATAACGTAATGTAACTAAGGCACGACTGGACGCGATTGCGGTCGATTTCTATTGTAGTTTCCATATATAACTGTCATTAATTTCCTGGTGATTAACAGGCCTGTTCCTCTTTTCACGACTTCTCCTTTTAGGTCAACGAACCTTTCAAATTCACCTTCCAGTGTTGTTCCACTCCACGACTCTATGACCCACAAAGATGGTTGGCGCCAGTTTCATGCGTGTGTTATTTCGAGCTTCCACATCTTGACTTCTGGTGTTTTGGGGATTGTTTTGACCTTATTTTTTTCTTGTTGATTTGGAAGGTTTTAAAATGGCAACAGTTCCAGTAAAGCTCAACTTTTTAATGTATTTTGTACATGCTTGTAATAATATTATTGATTGAATCATTTTCAACGGGAAAACGTACATGGTCCTGATGAAGTTAAGAATTTTTTTTTCGTATGACCTGCCGCGGCCGGGCAATGGCTGGGAGGAAGGCAGTGCCCAACAATAGTTTTGACCTGAAAGTGGCCCATAGCACGACAATTTCAAAGCAAATCTCGACTTGGAAAAACGAAGAAAGCAAAAAATCAGCAAAGGGAAGAAAAGAAAGAGAGAAAAAAATCGGGAGAACACATGAGAACAGCAAAGGGAAAGGAAGAAACAGAGAGAAAAATATAAAATACTCAAATGGGGATAGAAGAGAAAAGGAGAATGCTTGAAGAAAAGAGAAAGGCTAGAACTAAAATGAAGTGAAATACCATAACCGATATTGAGAATTGGGTGACGTGAAAAGCTACAAAGTCTGATCAATGCTGGCTTTTTTTTTTTCACAATGAATTTAATGAGTTTCGGTGATGACGCAGGTGAGAGTGTGGGTGGTTGGAGGGGGCCACTGGGAGGTCTTACTTCTTTACTTTCCCCTCTGTTGTTTCAATCTGTCTGTCTTACTTTTCCCCTGCCCTAAATGACCAATATTGGGTCGATGTGATTCTCTTTACCCAAACAAAACAAACAGGTGAGAATGACGCTTTAGAGAAGACTTGTGAAAAAGCTGAGAGTGTGAGTTAAACATGTTTGAGATAATCAATCGATTTTTTGGTGTAAATGCCATGGATGCTGAAAGTGGCACGAATGAAGAGGTGCGGATCCACCAAATTACATCGTACATGAATCCCAATCTGGCGTCGCAAACTCGTGATGCCCATTCATTGCAGATGGGATCGGGAAGGGTCGGGTCGGGTTGGGTTGGGGGCGATCGCCCGACTCATTGCCTGAGGAAAAAAAAACGCGTTTGTTTTTTAGGCCACGAGTGGAGCGCGATCGGCTTGAGCCATGATAATCGCTTTGCGCTCTCAATCTGGCAAGCAAACCGACCCGACTCAATCCGATCCTCCTAAAGGGCACCCCGTATAACATTGAGTTTTTGAGCGAAAGTAGCAGACTGGCCATCCGTTTAATCTCTTCTTGTTGATGGTTTACACCTTGGGCAATGCATACCAGATCAGAAAAAAATTATTTGTTGTGTGTGTGTGTGTGTGTGTGTGTGTGTGTGTGTGTGTGTCTGTGAGTATGTGTGTGTGTCTGTGAGTATGTGTGAGTGTTCGTAGAGGGTACTCATTCCCACGTGGGTGAAGTGAAGGAAATTTGTGTAAAGTACAGTGCAGTAAAGCACCTTTTCCAAGGACACAGTGTCGGGCGTGGCTCCAACTACCGAACTAGTAATCGTGAGGTTGCGGGTTCGAGGTAATCAGATAACCGATTTCACTCAATCTTCTCCAGCTTTGTGACGAGGTGACTGTAACGTCTTGAATGTACCGGTGTGATGAATAATTACCGTGTGACGAAATGACTGGTACTCAGATATCCGGAATGGTTCATCCGGCCCGCGACTTGGACCCATACGTTTGCCCATGCATGGTCTTTCTCAGGGAAGTACAGTAATATCCGCTTAAGATCCAGGTGCTCAGGAGCAAAAAACAACAACAAACAAAACCAACAACAACAACAACAACCAAATGCTGGATCTTAGACGAATGAATACTTAGCCGACACACCAAAGGTAGAATCTTCGGTGACCCATGTTCAGACACAGAACCAGTTAATTAGTCTCCCTTCACTCTAAAGTGAACTGACGTGATCCACAGATGGGCTTTTATGACTACGGCGAGCAAAGAGTGACCAACCTTGATGGCCAGTCACAGTGGCATGAAGC